TGCAGCTAAAGCATAAGGGTACATTATGAAATATTTTGATCTTTCCAGGTCCTGCAAGAAGTCTCAGCTCATTGACCTGAACAATGAGGGGTTCAGCGCAGCAGTCATGGACAAATTCCAACCAGCTATTGTCATCACAGACTGGTGAGTGAACCAATTTCAATCTGCAGAATATCTCATACATAGGTGATGGTGGAGGGGGAGTAGTAGAATTAATCTTGTGTCTCTGCAGTGCTAATGGGAACCATGACTTGGCCACGTCATCATTGACATGTCCTGATCTCTGATCCCGAATCACTGGTCACATGATCATTGACGTGTCCTGATCTCTGATTCCGAATCACTGGTCACATGATCATCGACATGTCCTGATCTCTGATCCCGAATCACTGGTCACATGATCATCGATGTGTCCTGATCTCTGATCCCGAATCACTGGTCACATGATCATCAACATGTCCTGATCTCTGATCCCGAATCACTGTTCACATGATCATCGACATGTCCTGATCTCTGATCCCGAATCACTGGTCACATGATCATCGACTTGTCCTGATCTCTGATCCCAAATCACTGGTCACATGATCATTGACATGTCCTGATCTCTGATCCCGAATCACTGGTCACATGATCATCGACGTGTCCTGATCTCTGATCCCGAATCACTGGTCACATGATCATCGACGTGTCCTGATCTCTGATCCCGAATCACTGGTCACATGATCATTGACATGTCCTGATCTCTCTACCAACATTGTGCTAATACCAATGGCTGGAAGGGCAGCAATAATTCCCCACCTCCTACAGGAGAAAAGTTTATGTCATAATGTTTAACAAAGTTACAATATATCTAAACCCATAAGCCTATAGGGCGTTGCAAGACTGACAGCCACAGGCATGACTTCCATAGGCAGCGGCATGATGGCACATATAGTTTCACCATAGCTTTGGGGTTGAAGTTTGGCTACCTCTGAAATATACGGAGTGTCTTGTAGATGCTTGTTTGAGGCTTGAGTACATAATGTGCTAGGAAAGGGCACAGAAAAGTGCGGCCACATGGGCTGAAGTGAAATTATAGCAACCTGGACTGTGGTTTACTGGGGAACAAAACATTCAGAATACCACATAAACCACTCCAGGTCAGTGTGCTCTCCCCAGGACAGCAGGATGCAGGTCTGAGGTAGCAAAGCAGAATGACTGATTAGAATGCTTCGGCCCCTTGGAGAATAGGAGTGAACAGCGGCTGAATAAACTGCCAAACCTTCGCTTCAGCCAATCCAGATGTTGCATCAGCTAAGGCGAATGGACTCTTCCCTTCGGTTCGGCCGGATGAGCTGGGGGCTGAAGCGAGCCGAATGCAGCCAATGTACGGCTGCAGTGAATAGCCAAAGAGGCTTCGGCTCCCTTCACTTTGGCTCGGCTATTCATTCGGCTACCTTTGGCAGCTTAGTGACTAACCCCGTATATGGTTAAGGGTATGTGGACACCCCTCCATATTATTGTGTTCAGGTGCACAAAGCCTATAAAGACATATAAAGCTATATATACACGCTTCATAACCCAAAGTATGTGGACCTCCCTGCAAAAGATTGAGTTCAGGTGTCTGCAGTGAAGGTTCTGTTCATCCTCCATCATACAAAGACATTGTAGACAATTATGTTCTTCCAGCCTTGTGGTCACCATTTGGTGAAGACCCTTTTCTGTTCCACCATGACTGTCCCCTGTGTACAAAGCCAGCTCCATAAAGACATGGTGTGACCGGTTTGGCGTGGAGGAACTTGAGTGTCCTGGACAGATAGCCCTGACCTCCACTCTACGTAACACCTTTGGGATGTATGGAACACTGATTGTGAGCCAGGTTTTCTCATCCAAAATCCTGATCTCTCAAATAGGCACAAATTCCCTTAGACACCCTCCAAAATCTTGTGGAAAGTCTTCACGGAAGAGTGGAGGCTGTCATCGCCAAAAGGGATGGGGTGGAAGTTGCAGTTCAATAGTAGACCATGGATTTGGAATGGGATGCCCAACAGACTCATAGAGGTGTAATGGTCAGGTGTTCACAGACCTTTGGCCATATGGAGCATTTAAAGGTAAAATGGAGCAAACGTCAACTCTAATATACTATAGTACATAAACTGTGATGTACTTATGTAACTCAACATTGAAACATTTCCGCCCAGGTATGGAGCTAGGAAGGACTGTGGCTGCAGATATGAGTTGGCGATCCGACTACTTTGTGAAAAAAAGCGTGTCTTACAGGAGTTTATCCCACCACCAGTGGACATACCAAAAGGGAGCGACTGCCAATGGCGATATGTAATGTCACAATCATAATTCCTTACAAATCCCACCTGTATGTTGTTTTATGTAAAAGAGCTGCTGATGGCACTGAAACGTCTATATGTGGTTAAAGATCTTATTTCTGGGCCGATACTCAGATATTTGACATGTGTTGAAAGCAACCCTTCCTTCCGTTCCCCTGTCACTGTCTTCAGCATTCAACACTTCCTGAAAGGTTGAATGCCTGTCCCCCCCTATACACACTGTGGTAGAATGTTCAGCCAGTTCATGCACCGGGGCCTACTTACAGCTTTGTAAGCACATGTGTGTCACCGCCCTTCTTCAGCAGGTTCCTCTAAGCCTCATAATCCTGCAAGGGCCCTCTGCACCACGCTTTAGTTATAGGTGGGTCTGAAAACCCAGGCCATGACTTGTGGCTCTCTCAACAATTAAAGTTATAAGAGAATCTCACTTAACGAGAGGCCTCTCTTCAGGGCAGTTCCAGGTCACTGTCTCAGGGCACTTCAGTGCTCAGAGTCTGCAAAACACAAAGGCCCATGCATGGAGGGCATTTTAGGAAACAGAAATCTCCTCCCACTTCATACCAACCTTATGCCTTCCCCATGACTGACCAACTCCCCCATTCCCTTCAGAGCTTGATAGCATCCCCTGTGACCATACCAGGTATAGGTCCAGCTGCTATAGCCAACGAGAAGAACAGACACAGAATGTCCAGTTGTGTCAAATTGGGTTTTTAACAGATTTACTTCAACATAACTTTACAGCAAACAACATGGTGACGTAAGTCAAGTCTCAATTAAAAAAAAAAACATCTTCTAGAACTGCCGGTGCTCAGATGCTCACAGTAATACGGGTGCTCAGATAGACTATTTAAGAGTAACACTTCTATCTTGTATGTCCCCAAAAAAGACTCTTCCATACCAAGGGTAAAGTCCTTCCCAGCATTTGTACCTCACAAAGGGGAGTAAGATGCATCTGCTCCTCACAAATTTGCTTCTGGTTTTACTCTCTTCCTATGAAAAAGGACTCTCACTTCGTTAGGAAACTGCCCCATTCCCTGAAAGGAGCAGCCATGTAGACCAAACTCTCAGCTTCACATTTTGGGGGCTGCCGTCTCTGCTACCCATGCAGGACTTCCCTGTGACTCAGTACATGGTACTTGTATACCATGTCCTTGCCAAACTGGCCACCAAAATCTTGCAAGAGCTCACTGTCCAATTGCGACACAGACCTCTCCAAGATGGCGCCTGGAGCCCACAGCAGAGAACACATTAGTCCTATGCTAGGGATCCCCTTAGAAAAAGCTTCTACACAGATAAATTGTGGACATTTGGGGACATCTAGTTCTCTCAAGGAATTACAATGGGGTCCTAACACCTTGCTACATGCTGGCGGGGTCGCTTTAACTTGCCAATTCTGACATCCAATGTTCTAGAAGTAATATTCCACACACAAGCTGCTGATGATTTTTTCTATGAATGTTACTAAAATCTTTTTTACATAAACCAGTTTGGATTTTATGTGAAGCCCTCCTTCATTAACTTCTATATGGAGACTTATTTATTTTCCTTTTCCTACAGGTAATGCACTCATTCAGTAAATATGGACCAGGAGTGCGCTATATATCTTTTCAGCATGGCGGGAAGGACACGCAGAACTGGGCCGGCTGGTATGGACCTCGAGTGACCAACAGCAGCGTCTCCATAGAGCTTTAAGGTCCAACATGTTGACGTGTTTTCATTATCTATGTGTCAAAGGCCAAAGTTTAATGTAACTGATAAAAGTGTTACTTTGTCATTGTTCTGGAACCCAAATTATTAATAAAGCGTGATACCTACAAACCTTCTTATAATCTGTTCTTGATGGACAATTTATTTTGACACCAGTTGGCTTATACAACAGCTGGATGAATAAATGAAGCACTCGTGGAAACTGCGCTGCCTACAGACACCAAACACAATCTGAGTTGTAAGATGCATAGCATGTGTCCAGGGGCGTAACTAGAAATCACAGGGCCCCATAGCAACATTTTGTATGGGGCCCTGTGATTTCTAGTTGCGCTCACCTGATATCCCAAACAACCCACCTGAAAGTGACCCTGCAGAGCCCACCATAGACTCTCTATGGTGGGCTCTGCAGGGTCTCAGGTGAGCTGGTCAAACCCTCTTGCCTGTCAGCCGTGATCGCTCTCCGCCTCCTCCGTCGCTGGGGCCCGCCTCCTCCTTCGCTGCCGGCACTGGTGTTCTATCAAAAGTTCCGACTTGTCGAGCTCTCTGACTGGGCACATCACATCCGGTGACTGCCAGTAGGAGATGTACAGCAGATGGCGTTAGTGCGCATGGCCTCCTGACAGGTTGTCAATGATCTGAACAGTGGCGCGTTCCTCCTCACAGCCGCCAGTGACAGCCAGCAGCCTGAGATGACATAGCGACCCAGGCAGCCCACCGAACAGCATCAGGGGGATGCCCTGGCCGGGCCCCCCTGTGCCCCGGGCCCCATAGCGGCAGCCTGGGTCGCTATAGTGATCGTTCCACCACTGCATGCGTTCCCGCATTATGAAAGGGCTACTAACCATGGCAATGGCCCTTAAATTGCACCTGAATCTTTTTTATTAACTGCAGCCCATTTAAATGCACGGCACGGCACTACAAATTAATGCACGGCAGTACTGTGTTTTGCATTGTGGTAACACCAGGCAAACCAGGTGTTACCATAACCCACCTGTCTGAATAGGCCCTTGCTGATCTGGCTTCAGTAAAATACATTTTGGATCCTTGCTATGAGCTACTCTACTTTGCGTTTAGCACTTTGATTCTAACACTATTTATTGAATAACTCCAAAAGTGTCCGTTTCTACGACTCAAGATGGCGTTCTGGTAGCTTAAAGGTCACTTTCCCCTGTATGCTGTGTACTAATAATGGAACATGGCGGGATTGACGTTGTAGCAGGTGACACTAAATGCAAGCATTAAGTAAATGACCGGAACTTAGTGCGTATACAAAGCCATTGATGAGGAGCATGCGCGTGTGCTGACAAGGAGCATGCTGATAGGAGGAGGAAGCACTATGAAAGAGAAGTGGGCTGTTTCTGCTCAGTCATTGTCGAGTAACAGGCTTGGGGCGGGGAAATCACCAAGCTTTATTGCTTACCTGCAGAAGAGAAAAGTCAGGTTGCCAGACTGGCTGTACTGTCTGGCAGAGTCATATGAAACTTAGAACTGGATGGTCATACAAATACTTTGACAGATAAAACATCACAAAATATGAATTTCAACTGTGTCTTTAGCTGTTTGACTTGCGTGCAGCTTTCCATTGCAGAGGGTATCTTCTTCTTTCATTTGCTCATGCTCATAATTTCCAATATGGCCTGCATGTGACCCCGTTGCCTTTTCCCAACGCTGGTGTTTGGCAATTGGTTGTTTAAAGGAGAACTATGAGGCGAGTGCTTTTCACTCACCTCATAGTTCTAGCCGACCCGTGACAATGAGACTGTCACAGGTCGGCTCAGTAGATCGGGAGGTGAGCGAACACATATCGGCATTCGCTCACCTCTCGATCCTGTCACAGCTGTCTGCCGTGACAGGGGAGGGGCTGGATTCCCCCCTCCCCGCTCTGATCCGCCAGCGCTGACTGGCGGAACGGACCGGGGAGGGAGCAGGTACAGCTGCCTCTGGATAGGCAGAGCCAGCTGTCAGTCACGCAGCTGGGCGGATCCAGACATAATTGTTGGGATCCGCTGCGGCGTCTTAGTATACCGCGAGCAGCAGCTCGCAGTATACTGCGGCATCTCAGTATACCGCAAGCTACAGCTCGCGGTATGCTGAGCCTAGGGTGACGGGAGGACGCTAGTTTGTGTCCTCCCGTTACCCTAAGGAGAATTATGGGGAAAAGCCTTAACCCCATAGTTCTCCTTTAAGTATGCAGAGTTGTCACGTGGTGTGAATGGAGCAGTAGTGGAGTTAAAGTGGATCTACAGTATACTTTACCTGCTCCTCTAGTGATGACAGATCAAATTCCATGCAGGTCGTTGCCATTTTCTCCAACAGTCTTCCAAGTCCCACATTGCTCATTACATGCCATATAATGACTCCTCACAAGTCAACAAAAAATCAAAGTAGCCAGTGCCAGCTGTCTGAATAGAATTGCCAGCAGGGGAGACTCCCCCATCCACACAGTTCAGCGTGATTGAAGTTAAGGATGGTTGAATTTAGGTACGATTCTTATTCAGCCTGCGGAGATTAAGGTGAGAAATTCACACGTGTATGGCTGGAATTCATTTCTATACAGTGCAATATTACACAAAATTGCTGTGAATTGCAGTGCGGTAGACTACATATTCTTGGGCATCTCCCCACCCATTCCTGTGTTCAAAGTTCAATAACCAAACAGTCCTTTTTAGGACCCCCTTTGCCATGGTCAATGATGTCATCCAGCATCCCGCCCCTCCTTTTTAATTCAGCTGCTGACTAAATCTTACCATGGCCTGAACACGAACCTCATCCCTACTGTGTATATGCAGGCTTTTGTTAATTGGTTGGACTGATGGTCACCCTGGCTCCCAGCGACCCGGCGACCCAAGTGGGAAGCTGTCGTATTTAGCAGCGGTAGTAATACAACTGATCAACATAGGACTACTTGCTGTAGCTGGAGGTTCAGCGGCATACGCTACTTCCCGTGGAAGTAGCTTCCTGCTCAGGTAGAGGATGGGATGTTCTTCTCCCGCCTGGTCTACCTGACTCAAAACTGCGCCCAGACCATATGCGGATGCGTCGCTTTGTACAAGAAGTGGTTGGGCAAATACCCCCATATAGTTCACCCGTTCACTGATTGCTAAACATCCAATATACGGACCGAATTCTACATTGGTCTGAACACGAACCTCATCCTTATTCTGTATCTGCAGGTTTTTCGATATTGGTTGGACGCAGTGGTGTAACAATCACCATAGCGACCCAGGCGGCCGCTATGGGCCCGAGGCCCGGCGGGGCCCGGCCAGGACATCTCCCTGATGCCATGCGGGCCGCCTGGGTCGCTATGGCATCTTGCTTGGACAGCCAGACTGCTGGCTGTCACTGGCGGCTGTGAGGAGGAACGCTCCGTTCCTTCTCAACGGTGGCTGCTGAGTTGGTGACAACCAACAGCTTCGCAGGAGGTGGCTGGGCCCGTCATCGGCAGTGATCGAGGGGGCGGGCCCCGGCGATCGAGGAGGTGGGGCACGGCGACCGAGGGGCGGGGACCGGTTAAGGAGGGGGCGGGGCCCGGCAATCGAGGAGGCGGGGCCCAGTAACGGAGGAGTCGATCGTGGAGGAGAAGGAGGCGGACAGAGGATCAGGGCTGACAGGTAAGAGGGCTTGACCGCCCGCCTGAGACCCTGCAGAGCCCACCATAGAGAGTCTATGGTGGGCTCTGCAGGGTCACCCTTAGGTGGGCTGTTTGGGTTATCAGGTGGGCGTAACTAGAAATCACAGGGCCCCATACAAAATTTTGCTATGGGGCCCTGTGATTTCTAGTTACGCCCCTGGTTGGACGTGATCGACTTTTTCAGCCTAGCTACGTAACTATATAATTTTACAGTAGATGGAAAACCTTAAACATTTAATTGGATAAAGCACAGTGTATCATAAAAAATATTATCATACCATCCATGTTTTCAGTTTTATTTAATCCTTCATTGCATCTCAGTGCTGCTGACCGCCTGCAGGCACTTCCTGTTTACATGATAAACTTCAACGATGGCTGTAAGGCTTTTCCCACGGCAGGTTTTCTGATGGCGAGAGCAGTAATGTGTTTTGAAACCCTCTTAGCAGGAATTGTCTGAAATAGAAGTAGCACCTGGTATTGTGTAACTTCAATGGCCAAGTTAAGCCTTTATATATGAGTTATGATCGGTGTCACAGAAGAATGCCAGACACCTGAACATCTTACCTTTCACATTCTTTAACTTGTATGAGATTGACCCAACCAGCATGGTAGGACTTGCTGATATTCATCCCCACTAGCAAGATGTAGATGTCTGGAATATTTGTTTAAATATCTTCTTCCAGTTCCATTGAACTCGCAAATGTATAGAAACCCCCTTCCTCTGTAACTCTGACTTGCAGTGAGTGTGAAGTTCGCCACAAACAAGATCTCCTGTTTCTGAGAAGGGATGAGCAAATCTACCCGGGTTCGATTTGCAAAGGGGTCAGCAAATTTACCTTGAAATCCGTGAAACCCATCTTAGCTGCAAACCCCATTGAAGTCTACGGGTGGTGAATCTTGACACTGAATTCTGACCATTTTCACAGCTAAAAGGCAAGCTAATGTAAAACAAAATGTCACGTGGAGCTGAAAACTGCCATGGGGGACATTTAACAAAGCAAAAAACTATGTAAAAAGTACCGTACGGCTTGGAGTGGACCCTTTAGGGTGAATGCAGTCTCACAGGACAGTACAATTTTTACGGGCAGCGTCAGTAGGGTTGCCACCTGTCCGGTTTTCACCCGTACAGTAGGGGTTTGGCATCTTGTGTCCGGTTTTCAGGCCACCTCAGCCCCGGACACAAGATGTCACAGTTTCAGGCAGACAAGGGCAGCCCCAGGGTCCCTGAGAGGAACGCATGGAGGAGGCCCTTCTGCTGTGTGGACACAATCCCGGCAGAGCGTGCAATGTGTTGCTACAGGTCGTGTCTTAAGGGGTTAATCCGCGCCCGCTGTAGTGTGTAAAGGTGGCCATACACTTTACAACTATCGCAAGACCTTAGTCTTGCGATGGCTGTAAAGTAATTTTAAAAAAACGTACGATCTGCCCATCTTGGACAGGCAGATCGTACTTGCGATCATCGCATGCCCGCCCCCCCCGAGGGGCGGGCTTCCGATGACCGCAATGCTGAATGGGCAGGTGCGCACACCGGCCCGTTCGGCATTTGTCTAAGATTTTCGGCTGGTTTTCTAGCATGCTCCTTCGACAAAAGACGTGCGACCGTACAGTAGAAACGGTCGCACGTCTTCATTCACACTGCAAGATTCTCGTACGATGGCAGGATTTCCGTACGAGAATCGTGCAGTGTATGGGCACCTTTATACAGACAGTGCAGATAGTTTCTCTGAACTGTCAGATCACTGCCTCCTAGTCCCAGTGGAGCTGCGTGGGGGGGGGGAATAAGTGTGTGTAATTCTTAAGGTGCCCATACACCTTACGATTTTCGTACGCAAACGCATACGATTATCGTAAGGTGTATGGGCACCTTTAAGCTGATTTTAGCTCTTGCTGTGAGAACCTGTAAATAATAAGGTGACCAGATTCCCTTGAAAGAAGTTTCTGCATAAATCATGGACACAGGAATCTGGTTACCTTATTCTGTACAGGGTCTCACAGCAATAGCTAAAATCAGCATAAGAATTACACACATTGACTATCTTCCCCCTCCCCCCGCTGGTTTGTTCATATTGCACATAAAACATGCCCCCATTAAAAAATGCCACAGGTAACCCGTGACCCGTGTTTTGTGGGGGTGTCTTTTATGTGCCATAGTACATATCACCCAAAACAGATGTCTAGATTCCATGTTAGTGCAATATCCATTTTATTGATAGTTGTCATTCAATCGCTTTTGGGGCCGCGCAGGGTCCGCTTCATCAGGTTCAGAAATGCGCTTGTCGTTTGAATGACATCAATAAAATGGATTTGCACTATAAATGCACAGATACTAGTATTAGTGCCGATACCGAGTATTTGGGCGAGTACTCCTCCAAATGCTCCAATACCTTCCCCGGTCAGAGGATACCTTCCGGTCAGAGGGAGATCTCTCTCTGACCAGCATGTAGGTAGGTGCAGTATGGCCAACGGCCACTAGATGCCCCCATGGGGCCCTGGAGATAGATGCAGCTCTGACCTGGGAAGACTCTGTGTCCCAGGAGAGTTGATTTATAGGGGGCGCCCGAGAGGGGAAAGCATGCAGAGATTACAGGAGAGCAGAAGTCTAGGACTGTTTGCAGAGTCTCCGGAGGGAGACTGATTTCTTGAACATAGGCTGGTCCATGGGAAGGACAGGACCAGGCCTAGGACTATGTAGAGCTATAGAGATTCCCTAGTTTCCCTAGTTTCCCCACAGGGAGAAACCCACCGTGCTAGGACTGACAATGGATGGGATTCCGGAGAATAGTGAAGTGCTAGAAGACTGACGATATTTGCCAGTGGGCCTATGGCCGAAGCAAGTCGAGGACTCTGGGCTGCACCTGGGCTGATGTACCTCTCTCTCTAAAAATTGTAACCCCGAGCAAGTAACAAGTGATGTGCCGTCACCCCACTCAGGGGTGGCTGAAATGTATGCTTCATACCATGTTCATTCTTTCAAGTAAAACCAACAAAAAGACTATCTGTGTGGACTGGTTCTTCTCCCTCCAACCTCTGAGAAGGTGGGGTTCTACCGGAGTGTGATGTTGGACTGTATCGTGGCTGTAACCATCTGAGGAGGGTAGGTGCGCAATGGGGCTATGCCTGGCACAGGGTGCCGTTCATGGTGGCCTTTTTCCCTAAGGGGGAGGAAGCGCCGAAGACCGCAGAGGCGGTTGAAGCCATGAGGCCCTGTGTACGCAGTACTACACGTGTGGGAGTGTTTGCACGAGGCCAAGGCCGTGGCCCCTGACCGTGGGGTATCTGGTTTCGAGTTGCATGCACGGGGTTACCCAGCCAACCCACAGGGAACACACACGCAACACCGCAAGAGTGAACCCCGCCTACAAGCAGTGCCAAGGGACCATTGAGCCGGCAGAGGTGTCCCGAGGTGGGGGTGACACCCTGCAGTGATGTCATCGCACACGTGTGGGATGACGTCACGTGTGGTACCACCATCACCGTGTTTCGTCTTGCCTAGGGCGGCCCCAAACCAGAGTACACCACTGCCTACAGATTCTATATCTGGGGACCTGGGGCACACTGTCATCTTTGTGATTACCTCCAATGTTATTTAATCACAAAATACGTGCATAGTGTACTTTACCAAACAATTGCTGCGAGGTGCTACAGTGTTCGGGTTTGGCTTGAAGAAAAGGTGGCAACCCTAAGGGTCAGGGACGCCGTACTCTGGCATCACATTTTATTAAATATTTGAAATGGAGACTTCAGGTATGTGTTGTTTGGTAACATTTATTTGGACAAAGCACATTGCATCATAAAAAATGTTATCATACAATCCATGTTTTCAGTTTTATTTACTCTTTCATTGCATCTCAGTGCTGCTCACCACCTGCAGGCGCTTCCTGTCTACATGAACATCAACAATGGCTGTAAGGCTTTTCCCACGGGAGGTTTTCTGATGGCGACAGCAGTAATTTGTGTTGAAACCCACTTAGCAGGAATTGCCTGAAATAGAAAAAAAAAACATGAGTTGATTACCTGATAACTCTGTTTCCAGGAATCTTCCAGGACAGCCATCGAGATATAGGCTCTGCCTACCTGCAACAGGAAACACATCAACCACATTAAATAAATAGACTCCTAACCAGCTGGAAAACACTTTCCACACCTTCCGGTAAATCGCAGATGTCACCGGCTTTCGACTGTGCAGCAGTGTAGTCAGGAGAGCAGAAGTCTAGGACTGTTTGCAGAGTCTCCGGAGGGAGACTGATTTCTTGAACATAGGCTGGTCCATGGGAAGGACAGGACCAGGCCTAGGACTATGTAGAGCTATAGAGATTCCCTAGTTTCCCCACAGGGAGAAACCCACCGTGCTAGGACTCCATGCTGCCCCTGTTGTTGCCAGACTGATGTCCACAACAGGGGCACCGCACACTCCAGGTCATCACACCTTGCCACTGCTGTACACCCGGGGGGGCCACCATCTGGCGCCTACTCACGTGCAGGAGGATGGTTGCCTTCCCTGAGTGACGGAAGGGAACCTTGGCCAAGAATCGGGTGGGGGGTCCGATAGGGAATCCCTGTATGCACTGCAGCAGGTAACCCTGGAGTAGGTCCCAATGCATAGTAGGGTAAGGCTCAGCCCTAAGGCAAACAAACATGAGCCCTTTTAAAATAACAAACATTACTCGATTCTCGTACGATCGCGGGATTTGCCACGATTCTCATACGAGAATCGAGCAGTGTATGGGCACCTTAAGTCTTCTATACCATCCCGTTCTAATTACCTTTCAAAAACTGAGCTCATGATATTTCCTCCACCCCGTGCACCTTCCCCCAACATTTTGTGATTGATAACACAACTATCCAAACCTCCCCTCATGCCAAGGTCCTAGGTGTGATTACCTGCCCGGCTGCAGCGACATGGACAATATATCAAGACAAAATGCAATCATACAATGCAAATATTGAACAAAAGGAAATATTGCACACAAAAGGAAAATAAAAAAAATTAGGGCGGGAGGGTGTGACGCTACTTTCACGCTGCTGACTCCGTCTGGATCTGGAAACTTCTTTTCCTCAGGGATCCACCTACACTCCTCCTCTCCGCACCTCTGACCAATCAGGTAAGCGTCTTATCATAACCCCCCCTGTTGCTAGGAACAAATTAACCCTTAGCAGAACATGTTAAGCCTTTATATAGGAGATATGGTCAGTGACTTAAAAGTGTTAAAAAAAAAAAAGGAGTCTTTTTTTTTTTCTTTAGAAATGTCAGTTTTGCTACAACAGGTTCTATACATCGTACAAATTAGAGTGAAGTTCACCCAGACAAGCTGTATGTGGTAATATGAAACAATTTTTACAGACAGGCGTCCGGAACCCTGTATTCTGGCATCACATATTTTGGATATACAGTATCTGCATATTTTTGACTATTTTTGAAATACAGAATCAGCACCTCAATCTGATACATTTTATCTTGAAACGCACGATACCGCGTGATTAACACAACAGATAGGCGTGATCGGGCCCTTAGAAACCACGACTCCACAATCCCTGCACTCCCCCCGCTACCATCCCTGTATCCCAAATTATTCCCAAAATATTCAAAATGTAAACTCGAAATATGTGTTGAAAAGAAACTGAATCCAGGACAGTATAGTGTACGAACTTCACACTGACTGGAAGTCAGAGTTACAGAGGCAGGCCCGGAAGTTATAAAAAATAACAATAATAAGATAAAAACTATAAAAAAGTAAAAAGATAAATAAAAATCAAAAAAAAAATTGATTAAAAAAATAAAAATAAAATAAGAAGAAATAATTGAATAAGTTCAATGGAACTGGAAGAAGATATTTAAACAAATATTCCAGACATCTACATCTTGCTAGTGGGGATGAATATCAGCAAGTCCTACCATGCTGGTTGGGTCAAGCTCATACAAGTTAAAGAATTTGAAAGGTAAGATGATCAGGTGGGCGGCATTCTTCTGTGACCATCAGACCCATAGAGGCAGGTCAAGCAATTGCTTGAGTGCGCCGGCGGGGGGGCATAAAAATGCGACTGGAAGGGGGCCCATTTAAGATGGCCGCGGCGGTTCTGATCACACCTCTCAGCGCTCCCTCTCTCTCTTCCCGGCCGCTGCAGCTTCAGAGCAGCCAGGAGGAGAGAGAGTGGGAGCGCTGACAGGTGTGATCAGAGCCGCCTCTCTGAGCAGTGTGTCATAGACTTACCTTTCCGTGATTGGTGCAGCCGCAGCGTGTCTGGCGCATCCAGCGGCGTGCCGTCCCTGAAAGGGATCAGCGTCGGCCTGCCGCTCACGGCTGCTCCCCCGGCACATCTTCCTCCTCCATAAGATGGAGGAGGTTACAGTTGCTCGGCGTTCTAACGTGGTAGAACGATGAGCAAGTGGACGCTCACCGCTCACCTGCCATGCTGAACCTTTTAGTCCTCCTAGACAGGACTACTCTTCAAACTGCACATCCCTGGTTGTAAACTTACCTGAAGGACGCACGCGCTCTAGCATTGGCACCATTACCTCAGACATAGGAGAGCATATGAGACGGCCGCTCGCTGGGGCCTCTCAGGGCCCTAGCCAGCAGCGAGCGGCCGTCTAATTAGAAAGCTGGATCTGCCCTTAGGAGCCGCATAGCCCTCCTTAGAGACCACTTAAGGACCATCACTTTTAGATGACCTGGACGCTGCACAGCCCCTCCAGCCCATACACACAACTGCAGGGCCCATCTAGCCCACTTAAGAGCATTTATGGACCACCTTGAAGCTGCACAGCCCCCAAGACCCCATACAGACAACCGCAGAGCCCACCTAAGAGCACTTATGGACCACCTTGAAGCTGCACAGCCCCCAAGACCCCATACAGACAACCGCAGAGCCCACCTAAGAGCACTTATGGACCACCTTGAAGCTGCACAGCCCCCAAGACCCCATACAGACAACCGCAGAGCCCACCTAAGAGCACTTATGGACCACCTTGAAGCTGCACAGCCCCCAGGTGAGGACAAGGGCCTCGTTCCCACAACCCTGACCCGGTGGGGGTCTGTGGGCAAGGGGGCTTATTTGCATTGGGGTACCCCTTTAATTAACCCCTTGTGAATGAGTAAGGGGAACCCCAAAATATGGATCCACCGACATCCAGCGTTGACAGCTAGCTCCGCCCAATTGTGTAGTTTACCGGCATCTGATAGGTGAGCCATGATTGGGCAGAGTCATCACGACCTAAGGAACAAAGGGCCATGGTGCATGCCCTCTGTTCTTTCCACTATCTTCACATGCCCCCTGGACTCTCCCATCACCACGGTCCCCCCTGCACCTCTCCCCCAACTCCAGCACCCCTTCCATCACATATTTCCTGCACCTCCCTTCACCTTTCCCCAGCCCTCTCAAATCATGGTCCCTTCCCATCTCTGCAGCCGCCCCTCCTTTTACAATCACATATCTAAAGACCCCCTTCCCCAATCACATGTCCTCAGTCTCCCATTCTCCAATCACATCTACGCAGCCCCTCCTTCTCCAATCACATATCTATAGACCCCCTTCTACAATCACATGTCCTCTTCCCCCTCTTCTCCAATCACATCTCCGCAGCCCCCCTTCTCCATGACATTAATTTTCGAACGTTCGACCCCCATTGACTTGCATTGAGTTCGAGTTTGTTTTCGAACTTTTCGGGAGTTCCAATACGAACCAAACACGGGGGTGTTCGGCTCATCACTACTGAGGACTAGAAAGCCATCTTAATCCATCTAACAGGACTGTCCCAGTAGCATAGGCCAATGCTATCATCAGGGCTGGACCACAGAGTCCTGCAACGTGGGTCTTTTTTAACATATTTGCTGCCAACAGGACTGGTGTGGTCTGCAGCCTCTGCCTGCAGGATATCAGCCATGGCAAAAGCTACCGTCATTTGGATAGCACATGCATGAGGAAACAAAATCTGCACCACGGTGTTTGGTGTGAGCAGATCCTCAGTGAGACAGTTCAAGAGCAAAGGGCCCACACTCCCCATTCCTCCCTTTCTGCATGTCCCCCTCCATCTTGCACAAGATTCCCCTGCTGCATCCATTGCAATTAGGGTTGCCACCTGTCCCGGATTCACCCGGACAGTCCGGGTTTTGAATGCTTTGTCCGGGTTTCATGGCAGCAGAAACCCGGACACAAGATGTCAGGCAGACAGGGGCAACCAAAGTTAAGATGGGGGGGTACTGCCCCCCCCCACTGAAAATAGTCTCAGCTGTGATATTTACGTATGAATGGGCGGCGCTATTTACATATGAATAAGCTAAGACTTATTCTCCCCAAAAAAATGTCTGCGCGTCACGAGTGAGTGTTCAGGTTTCGCTTGAAGAAAAGGTGGCAACCCTAATTGCAACACCTACTCAGGTCATCAAAGAGAGGGACCACTTATAGTTGGCCACCCTATAATATCCCCAATACAAGGGTAAAATGGCTGCTCTACTGTCACCATCCCAGAGGGAACCCAGAATGCAGCACTCATTGGGTGCTGTGTAAGTACCATTTTGCCACATTTCGTGATGGTGGCAGGATCCTCCATTCACCAGCATCTGAGGAACATCTGCGGCTTGCCCAGGAGCCAGTGTGTTGTCCCAGAGGGCCTTCAGTGCTGCAAGGCGTTTTGTTACACTGAGGCAAACCTGTCTGTTCCTGCCTCGGGCGCAAATGTTGCTAGCTACGGCTGTGGGCGGCAGGGCTGTAGCTACCATGGGGCGAGTGAGGCACTCGCCTCAGGCGCAGCTGAAAGGGGGCGCAGCAAGGGCCGGCCTGGCCCCTTGCCCCTGTTGCCATGGCGAGCACAGGGCGCCATTGGCAACAGGGGCGCCAGGCGGCCAACACAGCTCGCAGGGAGACGAGGCGCTGCAAATTTACTTCGGACAAAATTAATGGAAACTAAAAATGTTTTCATTAGTTTCATCAAGCCATCCTGGAGGCGGTGCATATGCACACGTCTGTTGGGGGGGCACAATTTTCTGTTCTTGCCTCGGGAGCAAAAGGAGCTAGCTACGGCTCTGGTGGGCAGGAACATCATGTGTCAGGGAGAGGCCTTGGGCTGTGTAATTAAGAAGCATCGGCAGTAGTTCGGCCCCTGATTGAGCAACGTTCTACATTTACGTATAAATAAGAGAGACTGAACGTTCCCTTTTACTCAACATCTCGGTGGTGGTCAGGTAGGTCTCGCTGATACTTGTTGCATTATCTAACACTTAGGGGCATATATTTGTTAGGGGTAGATGCGTTGTCATTATGTAACTGAGGTTTTGCAGTCTACCAATGAGGTGGCATGGTAAGGACCGCTTGAGGTTGGCTTTCCTCTCGGTGCTTATCATGTGTCACTGCTTGGATATCTTGAGGCACAAGCCCAGAGATGGTTACTGTACCAGCGGCATTAGGAAATCAGCTAGGTTTTGTCCTAATGTCAATTTGGGACTCGTGCTTGTCCCTCTGGGTCATTTTGTCTTCTGTTGGCACATAGAGAGGAATGGATCAAAAGTAAATTCTGGAATGCGGAGCTGAAGATACACATGTCCAGGTCATGAGTGGAAGAATGTAGCGCTGGGACCCCCCAGCAAAAGAGAGCAAAAGCCATTTGGTTGAGGCAATGTTCAGCCTGCTTATCAGCAAAGTTGGAGTTTGGAAGTTGGGGGACTGACAAGTAGGGATGAGCGGAATGTTTTTGGCAAAATTGGTTTTATAGTGAAATCAATTATCAGCATCAGAAATATTTGACCAGAACAGAAGCTCTTTTCATTGAGCTGCTTAGGTAGAATTTGCCTGGAAAAAAAAATCCAGATATACTATTTTTTTCATTATTTAGATGGTGTTTTTTTTTGGAGGAGAGTGTATTTGGGGTAATTCAGTTAATTTAGCATCTTTGTCTGTTTTTTTTTCCCCCCCTTTTTTTTTTGTGTGTATTTCATACTTATTTGGAGACTGATGTGTGCATTTTATTTTTTCCTGTTTTTCCCAGTCTTTTTTTTTTCTGCAAAAAGGAAACATAAAAAAAAAAAAATGTGGATTTATTTTTTTTTAGCACAAGAATAGGTGGTGGGACTTTCTGTAGCCCTCGGGTGCCATTTAAAGCCTTTTGCAACTTTAAAAACAGCCAAAAAAAAATGCCCTAATTCTACTTTATCTGCCTGAAATTGGGGATTTAACACAAATGATCTACTATAGGATATTGCTTAGAAATTTCATTCTGGGTTTCTGCTCTCTGTTCTTATTCTGTATGTATGGACAATATGAACACGTGTGTGTGTGTGTGTGTGTGTGTGTGTGTGTGTGTGTGTGTGTGTGTGTGTGTGTGTGTGTGTGTGTGTGTGTGTGTGTGTGTATATATATATATATATACACACACAATATAACATAGTATTTGCGGTTGAATAAAGACATAAGTCCATCAAGTCCAACCTATTGCTGATGTGTGCGTATGTATAGGTCCCTGTGTCATCTCGTTCTTAAGCGTACCTGTACCCCTGTACATTACGGTCTCTCAGGAAATCATCCAAAAGCTTCATGAATGATTCCACACTCTTTGCTTAAATCACTGCTTGAGGCAGCGAGTTCCAGACCCTAACCGCTCCAACTGTGAAGAACCCCATTCGCCCCTTGTGCTGGAATTTTTTTTCCCACCAATTTTAGGTGGTGGCCTCTAGTTTTTGTTACGGAGTTAATCGTAAAGACTTTATTGCTGATGTTGCTGTCACCATTGAACATCTTGTACATGAAAAGCATGTACCCCCTTAATCTCCTTACTTCTAACCAGAACATATTTAAATTTAGTAGCCTTGTCTAGTAGCTCTGGTCTTCCATTCCCCTAATGAGTTTGGTTGCCCTCCTCTGGACTCTTTCCAGCTCAAGGACATCCTTTCTGTGGACTGGTGACCAAAACTGGACCGCGTACTCCAGATGGAGGCCGAACCAGTGATCTGTAAAGTGGCAAAATTATAGACTTGTCCCTGCAAAACATTCCCTTCTTAATACAGGACAGGACTCTACTCGCTTTGCTTACAGCAGCCGGACACTGCAAGCTATTATTCAGTTTGTGGTCTACAATGACCCCCAAATCTTTTTCTATTTCTGACTTCCCTAGCGGCACCCCCATATTGCATTTATCGATATGAACTTATTATGTTCTGAATATTAAATCTAATTCTCATTACAGGTTTGTTTCTTTACAAGGCAAGATCCAGATCAGATACTCAAACCGTGACTGCAGACATGTATTCACAATACAGGTGAGACCGCAACCGACCACACAGGAGGCAGATATGGAGAGAGATGCTCTAGAGACCATAAACCATTTTTTGTTCTTATCATATTATTTAGTATATAGGGAACGCAAACACAGTGCGCCTCCCTTGTGTGGAAGTCTTTATATGTTTATATGTTCAAAAATAAAAAGGCAAGAAATGTACTCACAAACCAGCAGTCAGTAAAGAGCCTCAATAGGAGAAGTCTTGTTGTCAGCAACTGGCAAAACATCAGAACAGCCACAGCATGAGCTATCAGTGGCGTAACAACCGGGGGGGCAGCAGGGGCGCGAGCCCCGGGCGAAAAGTGAAGGGGGGGCGCCGGCCGAAAATGGCACTTTCGGCTAAATGCCTTTTATTGCTTTGTTATCTTAAGTGTTGACAACTTGAATAAAGAGACCCTGAGCAGAAATGTAAAGTGTTTATATCGCTTTGTGTTTTTGTATTTCTTGCTTTCTGTTGGATTGTAATATCATCTGATGTTTTTATGTTCATCTCGTCCTAATAATACTAATGTTCTTCTCTCTTAGCCTGAAGAGGAACCTGATCAGAAATCCATCTGCTGCTGGTGAGCAATTTATTATTATTATTATAAAGAAAATCTTCATCCTGCCTAGTTTGAACTAATGTCCCTCTATCTAATAATTATCACTGTATGGCAGTGGCGGAACTACCACCGACCGATGCGGTCGCTATGGGGCCCGCGGCACTCCAGTGTTTGTAAATAACTGGGGACACATAGTACTATGTGTCCCGAGTTATGAATGAACAGGAGGTGATTTACATCACTTCCTGTTCATTCATGAATTTCTCAATGGGGAGAAGCACTCAGTACAGAGGCTCCTCCCCATTGAGAATCTGCTTCATAGTAAATATTTTACTATCAGCAGTTTGTGAATGAATGGGAAGCCTCTGTACTGAGTGCTCTCCATTCACTGAGTGCTAAGGCTGCAGAAAAAGACATTGAGGACTCTGTGTCCTCAAGTCTTTTTCTATTTTAAAAGGGAAATGTCTATTTAGACCCCTAATATTTCCCCGAAGCCCCCCCAACAGTAAAATAATAATAAATAATAATAAAAAAATAAAATAAAAATGTGTAAATAAAAAAAAACACAAACCCCTCCTCCCCCCCACACACATAACATACACTTGCACCATATTGTGGCGTACGCCAGGCACATGCGCTGCAGTATGTTGTTAGAACGCAACGCAGTGCATGATTTTTTTCTTTTGTAAAAAAAAAAAAACATTAACTGTGGCAGCGCATGGCAAACCTTTGTGACGCATTGCCGCGCGTTGTGATACCTTGTGTTGTAATGAAATATACGCCTGTGTCATTTTATCACAACACCAACACCAACACAGCGCAAAAACCATTTATAACATAAATCGCTTATTTGCAGTTTAGCGTTCCTTCATTTTTTTTTTAAATTCCCCCTTTCCTCAGCCTCTCATTGGTGTGGCAGTATTAAAGTAAAGTGTTAAGCCTCATTCGGGCGCCATTCACACCGGGGCGGAAGCGTTTCACCGTGGTTTCCGCACCATTTTTGAAAGAGCATTTTTGGCTGTTTTTAGTCGCGCTCAAAAATGTGCTGATCAGCGCATTTCTGTTAAAATGGGGGCGGCGGGGTTTCGTTGGGGGGCCTCACAAAATGGGGCCCTGGGATTTCTAGTTACACCCCTGCTGTATGGTAATTAAAAACAACAACATACTCTGGACCTGAGCTCATCCCGACCCATAATCTGTTGGAACGCTGCTGCAGAATTGTCTCTTACCAGTGATAAGATGCTGGAACATGGAGACAACCACTTCCATCATAACCATGCAATACACAAGAGGGAACACTACATTGACTCAACCATACTACTGACACCTAGTGGCAGAATAACAGAATGACAGTCTAGTATATGAGAATGGTTGTTGCATACACGGAAGGCTAACAGTTCTACTATGTCATCTTTTCTATTTTTCTTTATGAATAATCCCCTTTAAGTGGTGGAGGGACCATGAATTTCATTTTATATTAATTTCACAGATAATAATAATTAATAACGCTTGTGCCTACAATTAATTTTTATATCATAACATTTCTCCAGGTACCGAGAGCCTTGGAAGAAACATGTTGTTTCTAATAATTGCCGTGTGTTCCAGTATCTAACGTTCATCCTTATCATCATCCCATTTTATTTTATGTCGTCGTCCCCCCGTAGAGGGATTGAATAACTGGAAAATCGATGAAAACGGTGGTACTGGATGGAAGGTCGAAGAAAATCTCACGGAAAAAGAATGTATATTTCCAAATCCGTCTGTCCAAAAGCTCTTTGCGACTTCTTCTCAGTAAGACCCGCCTTCTTATTCATAATGTTACCACACAATAAGATTTCTTTTTATATATTGTTTTATGGAGAATGGATTTTCTGGGTGTGGAATGGTTTCAATCAATATAATCGATATAATGAAACATATTCAGTATATCTCTGCGACCTCTGCTCATAACTTCCTGCAGTGAGCTGACAACATTGCCTCTGCTACAGGGAAATCACAAGCAGTGATATCAGCCCTACTGGAGTAGAGAACCCAACCCGTCCCCCTGTCCCACCCAGTTTGTTAAGGAGATAAGGAAACTGGTGGTGGTCTGTAGTCCAGCATGGGGGAAATAGTCAGGACTGATTTTAGTTCAGTAGAGGCAGTGTGTTGTCAACCCAGCCAGGAAATGAGGAGCGCACTATCACACTATTAGGTATTTTTCTGCACTTGCAGAGTTTATAAAGGGATACAATCTGGTAATGGTTACATTATTGACAGTCTCATGTTTCAGGCACTGGGATTGATGGTGGGGAATGTTTAGATAAATAGATGTGCGATGAGAAATAATTGTAGGTTTTTTATTAATTAAACTTATTAAATTCCAGAATATGCAAGAAGTCCCAGCTCATTGACCTGAAGGAGGCCGGGTACAGTGATGAAGTCATGGACACATATCAACCGGATATTGTTGCCACAGACTGGTAAGTGAACTGATATCAATCTACAGAATATCTCACACACGGGTGATGGGGGAGGGGAGTTGCAGCATGCATCTGGTGTCTGTGCAGTGCAAATGGGAACCGTGCCTTGGTCACATGATCATCGACATGTCCTGACCTCTGATTCCCAAATCATTGGCCAAATGGCAACCTATGGTGAATCCATTAGCACGGCTCACTAGAAAAGACTACAAGATCTGCTCAAAAGAATCTCAGTGTAAATCTAGCGACATTGTGATCGAGTCGCCACCTGTCCGGGATTCATATGGACAGTCCAGGTTTTGAGCCCCGTATGTGCTGTGTCCGGGTTTTAGGCCAGCTGAAACCTGGACAGGGTCAACCATGCGGTCTTGGTGTACCAACTTGAGTGAGGTGAGTAGGCATACGTTTTGGGGACCCTATATACTTTTTGAACATGTTCCAACTTGAGTGCATGTATCGGGCACGGGACACGGAGGGATGCTGGAACTCACGGAGCAAGGAGGTGTCTGAAGCACAGAGTGGAGATAAGTCTTGAAGCATACAGGGGTTCTGCTTCAGGCAGATGTGTTGCTCGCTATCTCTCCTCTCTCCCCTGGCTGCCTCTCCTCTCTCTCTCCCCTGGCTATCTCTCCTCTCTCCCCTGGCTGCCTCTCCTCTCTCGCTCTCTCTCTCTCTCTCTCTCCTGGTTGTCTCTCCTTGCTTGTCTCCTCGCTCATCCTCCTGGCTGTCTCTCCTCGCTCTCTCCTGTATATTCTCAAAAATGCTGCACGGCACTAGAGTGTTTGTGAGTCGCTTAAAGAAAAGGTGGCAACCCTATTCTAATATCATTGCTTGGAAGGGCAGCAGTCATTCCCCACCTCTTAGGGTTCGTGTACATAAAGGGCAGGATGCTGGGAGAGGGTATATAAAACAGATCAGATCAGGTGGAGATCCTGGCGACGTTGTTTACAGTTAATACCATTCAAGCTGATCAGCTTTGTGTCTATGGGTCTTAAAGTGGTTCTAAACCCTCCGGGTTTTTTTGCCTATATCTATGGCTATCAAGCAGGAGATATATGCAAATAGTTAAAAAAAACGTTTTAACAGCGGTTTAAACTTACCTTGTTTTCACTGCGCGCTCCCGTCCAAGAAAACAAAACTGATCGGGCGGCCGCAAAGGATCTTGGTGCGGGCGCATGCGCAGTTCGGATTCTCGGACTGGAGACGAGCAGAGACGCAAGGTAAGTCTATGGACGCGTGCACCCGCATGCAGACACCGTGGGACAGGAAGTGCCAGCAAGGAGAGAGGAGTCAGCGCTGGATCGGAGACCCGCCGCACCGCTGGAGGGACAGATGAAAACATCATGAAAGAAGATGAAGAAGATCGGATTAATAGACATCAGTTAAGGTAAGTGCTGATATTGACATGGGGGAGGGGAAAATGTTTTGCCTTTAACCTCTTGCCGTCCGCCCGTTGTAAAAAAACGGACGGACGGCACTGCAGCATTGGCGGGTTGCCGTCTCCAGACGGCTTTTTTTTTCTGCTCGCACGCGCCCCCTGGCGGGCACGCACGGGCAGAAAAGACCCGACCATTGCACACACCCATTACCGGGTGTTTCACATATAGGCGATCAGCGGCTCCATAGCCCCCCGATCGCCTATATGTGCTCGTTCGCGTGCGCCCCCCTGCGCGGTCCCCCGACCCCTCACCTTGAATCCCGGGATCTGCTGCCCCATCTTGAATCCCGGGACCGGCTCGGAGGGCGTCAGGAGGAAGAGGACGGGAGATCAGCTCCTTGCTGATCTCCCTCCGGGCTGTGAATGCAGAAGTGATGTGTATTACATCACTTCCGCATTCACCTGTCAGTCATCTGGCTGCTATTGAAAAATGGCCTGGATGGGAAGGGGGTTTAACACCGCGGATGTCAACTGGTTAATGTCACTTTAAGTTGCTTCTTTTAAATTCTCAGTGTGTACCTTCTCTGCTTCCTAACACAGACATAGATATAGTCCTAAGTCTGACCATCCCCATTACCAACTTGCACATATATTGGAGAAAGGAGGATGGCGCTGCATTCAGTACAACTTCCCCATTCTTCCCACTCAGATTGGAGTTCCTCACGCCTCATAGTCATCAAATTCATTACAGTGCATTTCTCTTTGTTTCATGCAGAGCCCCGACCTCAACCATACAGAACACCTTTGGCCTCGTTTGGCTGAATGGACACAGATTTCCGAGTGGAGACTATTATAGCCACAAGGGGGTTGGGGTGGGGGAGGGCTATTCCATATTAATTCTCATGTCTTTGGAATGGATTGTCCAAGAAGCTCTTGCTAGGTGTGCTGGTCAGGTGTTCACAAACATTTGGCCATATGTTGAGTTAAAAGGGATGGAAAATGCGGAAAGACTAAGGCTAGCCACACGCAGCTTGATTTCTCTCGTTCAGCCCTCACTCAGTGATGAATGATGGAATCTGCACTGCCGGCTATAGGATTCCGCAGCCACAGCACCTGAATACCTGAACAGTGACTGCATCTGATAGGACACAGTCTCTGGTTGGGTGGTCCTCCCAACTTTTGGCAAGTTGGGTGGAGCTTCCAAGGCCACCTATGGCTTCATTCTCAGCCAGCTCAGCAGGAATCGGCCATAATTCCAGCTCTCTATGACAAGTTTCATGTACACAAGCACTTAAACTCTCGTCTACTCAAAGTTGGGAGTTACTGCACTCTCTATCTACCATTATCACTACCAATATCTACTATTTTCCCCCTCCAGGTATCAATCCAGGCCGGACTGCGGCTGCCAGTATGAGCTGGCGGTCAAACTACTTTCTGCAGACAAGAAAACCGTACAGGAGTTTGTCCCGGCTCCCATTATTATAAAAGAGAAGAGCGACATCCACTGGAGACATGTAATTCCTTACAGATCCTATCATATTGGTGTTTTATGGAAAAGAGCTGCTTGGAACATTGATAATACATAGGTCAAAGGTTATCTCTTGGCAAAACCATTTTTGTTTTTTAGTTTGGATAAAGTGGGGGAGGGTCAGACCCTCTGTCAAGGCTTTATTGCTGTCTGTTTCCCCAATTGGGTAGATTCATTGGACAACAGATTTGGCCCAACCTACTGCTGCCCAGGGGCCGTAGCCATGGTTCACATTAGTGCTGCTGCACGATTTCGCATTTTTCTTTTTGGCCAATGACGAGCAATATCTGCTATGACATCGTAGGCATCGCCTTTTGAAGTCTATGGAGCCAAAAACGCACTGTGAAGCATCAAAACAAGCACCAGCCACCTTTCCAAAAAAAAATGCACTGCCCCATGCTGCATTGAAGTGAACGGGCACCATTAACATTAATGTGATTTCCAATGTTGTGTAGTGCAGAGCGACCGCAGATGCGGGACAAATTGCACTAATGTGAACGGCCCGGGGCCTAAAAACAAGGTCCATGCCAAGTATTTATCTTCTATGTCCCTCAGTGCCATCTAGTGGCCATAATGCGATATTACAAGCAGAACATTCAAAACCAATTCCACTTGTAAAGAAAAAAATTAAAGAACGTTCCTTTATTCATATACAGTATTTGTACAGAAGGAACATTGACACATATTCGCAGGACAAATTGAATTGTTTATAGATCTTCCACTTAGTGTAACGCCCCTTCAATTCTATTTTGAGACTTAATTCGTTTCTTTTCCATTTCTTTTAGATAACGCATACATTCAGTAAATATGGACCAGGAGTGCGCTATATATCTTTTCAGCATGGCGGGAAGGACACGAAGAACTGGGCCGGCGCATATGGAGTGCGATTGACCAACAGCAGCGTCTCCATAGAGCTTTGAGGTCCAATTGGATGAACGCATGACATGTGTTCACTATCATGTCTAAGTATCAAAGGCTTGGGTTGTCACTGATGTCTAAACTAATGTAACTGATATATGAAATGTTACTTTGTCATTGTTCTGGAACACAAAGTATCAATAAAGCGTGACGCTCTTACCCTGGAACCTTCCTTTATTCTAGAAAGAGATCTGTTCCTGATGGACAATATATTTGGTACCAGTTGGCTTGCTCAATAGCCAGCTGAAGTGTCTACACTGCTTACAGCCACCAAGCAACTGTTAATGTGTGTACGTGTGTACATGTGTGTGTTCATGATGAAAGGCAGCCAATGCATGGCAAAGGCCCAAAAATGTTACTACATGTAGAGAGATAGAGATATATATTATTTTTTTGTATTATTGCACGCATGAAATGCACAGCAATGCACCACAGCACGGTACATGGGTTATGCATTGTGGTAACGTTCGGTAAAACAGGCATTTCCAAAACCCAGTATGCAAAAAGAATTCTTTTGAGGAAAGAAAAAAGTGGGGTTTTGAAAGCACCAAAGAATGACAACTCCAACCAAAAAATTAAAAAAATTATATTTGTTTATTTCATATAAATCTGAAAAGTAGAGAATAGAGAAGGCTTGGAGCCACTAATAACATTGAATAGATAGTCCCTAAAAAAGCTCTTTCCACATGCACAACAACTCACCATTAGCAGAGACATACATGATTCTTATGGACATACATGATTGGGGTTCAAAAAATGCCGAATGACCAAATTGCATATAAAGAGGCCCTTGCATAGTTGTTCTTAGGGCTGTGGAATGAAATAATTGCTCTCCACTAGCATGGTCCTGAGAGCAAGGTATGACCCTCGGCACGTTGCATGATTGAAATAATGGATATAAACAACTTTTAGAACATGATTAGGTACAAAATGGCAATATTGATTCAATTATATGATTAGGTACAAAATGGCAATATTGATTCAATTATATTAATTCATCTAATATCCGTGAAATATCAGCATAACCAATAAGGATAATGCTTGAAGGGCTAGAGAGTGGAGCCGATCGATTCTCCACTAACACCAGCCCGCAAGCAAAGTATTGGCTACCTTGAAACTTAATAAAGAGGGACAAACATTGATTATCAAAAATTCCACATACTTGGTATTAGAAATGCATGATTAAAGACTTCCGGTTCCGGCGCCCATGTGAGGAGCAGCAGGGAGACGGCGCTCCCCCTTGACACGTCTTACCGTTATATAAAACTGGCCCCGACGGCTCCAGCCGATCCACCCCGCTGCTCACGGGGGTTGCGTGCAGGGTATGGACCGGTTCTTGGCTCCGAAAGTGCCGCAATCTCGCTCTCGATCCCGATCACGGGACACGTCCCGCACAGCCTGCACAGCCAAGATGGCGGACGCTGCTGACAGGCAGAGCCGCCGCAGCCCTTCACCGGCCTCCTCACAGGAGGACAGGGATGAGGACACGTCTCATGCCCGCATAGCTGCAGCAGTAGCAAAATTGCTGAAGCCTACCATAAAGGCTGCGGTGGAAGCAGCAATACAAACAGGGCTCTCCCAGATGAGGAAGGATATATCAGCCCAGGCCAGATCTATATCTGAAGCGGAGGAGCGCATCTCCTCATTGGAGGATGATTTACTGGAAGTGCAAGCGAAACTCTCCCTCCACGACCAGACACAACAATCCATGCAGGCCAAGATCGATGATCTGGAGAACCGCTCGAGAAGGAACAATCTCAGGATTGTTGGTTTGCCGGAAACATATAAACCTATGGTACTGGGTAAGATATGCGCCACAGACCTGCCAGAAGCACTAGGGATAAGAACGCCATGCCTAGTGGAAAGAGCACATCGCATAGGACCCCCCAGAGAGGACGGTGCCTCCCCCCGCCCAGTAATTGTCCGATACCTCAACTACGCGGATAGAGTGGAGGTACTACAAAAATTCCGGGCAAACAAAGCGTTGGAGGTGGATGGGCATCGACTACTGCTTTTTGCTGACTACTCGGCGGAAGTAGCCAAGAAGCGTAAAGCATTTAATGAAATCTGTTCCACCCTGGTACAACGCCAGATAAGATTCACGCTAGCCTATCCAGCTACACTCTACCTCACCTCAACATCAGGCCAGAGGATGTCCTTTAACAACCCATCGGAGGCTCTGCTCGCCCTGAACCGCATATCGGAAGACACGGGGTCTCCCTCCAAACCGCCGCGTCCACCAAGGTCACCTTACAAGCCACCAAAATCCCTCAAGAAACATAATGGGACACCACGAAAATATCGCAAACGTTGAACAAGCCGCAAGTCGGACTGACCCGTCTATGGATAAGTATCACTCATGATGTGCCTTACCACGCTTAAGCAGCCATGTGTCTGTTTATGTTATGGAACACTAAGGGGACTTTTGTTGTTCCCCACTTGCTGCTGACATAGGGAGGTGATGTTTATTTTTCCATGTCCTTTTAATAGACCATGGGAGACGGCCGCGGGGCCTAGCAGACTAATTCTCTATCATGTATGCCGTGCAGGGGAAGTGAGGTTTGAGCGCATTCCCCACAATGCATACATTGGGAAATTGAGAAGTCAGTGAAATTGTTGGTTATGTGTTATGTTATAGATAAAGTTTTGTTGAACAAAGTTATACTTATCGCAGGAATATTTGCATACTCTTTCTGTATAACCGATATGCCCCTGAAGGGGGTGGTTATGTGCTGCTGTGTCTCCATAGATACTCTCTCAGCTCAGGCTCCCTCACGTATACTCACTGTATGTCCTCTATCCCCCTCCAACCAAAATATTTTAAGCCATCATCTCAAAATAGATTCCTTTCTGTAACCTGCAGATAGTATGTTTGTTTCATTTTATTTTGTAGTTTTATATGGAAAAAATCAAATAAAAATTGTTTGAAAAAAAAAAAAATGCATGATTAAGGCATGATAAAGATAGTCATGATTGTGTCAAACGCATTGTGCTTCACCAAAAAAGTGTGTACACATACATGATCGAATTAAATGGTTCTATAGGAGTGTCAAAAAATTCATACAAAGATAGATAATACAAGATAATACGTAAATGATGAGCAGGCTATCTACCCCTGCCCTATATCCAAACGTTAGCTGCCGTAATAAGCTGTATATTGCAGTTTCTTTTTTCTTTTAACTTTCCAGAGGGATATTATTTAGGATTGATATTTAGAAGAAGAGCAATGGTGAACACTTTGATTGCAGGTATTGTTTAGCACTTATTTATTATAGAGATTTGTTTATTTATTGTTTCTAGTTGAAGCGCAGCACATTCACTGTTAAAATTTGATACATTTAGATCAGGGGTGCCCATTAGGTAGATGGTGATCTAGCAGTAGCTCTCAGAGCTGATGCTGGTGGATCAGGAAGGGTGGGAATGGCGGTCCCTTTTATTCCATTTTGGTATATTTATTTAGCTGTGCACACATGATTCCCTATTAGCCTGAGTCTGCTGAGCCGAGCTCCCCGACACCTCTCTGGTGGATTCTGGTGGTTGAAGTGCAATGTATGACATCAAAGAATATTCGTTTACACAGCCTGTTGCACTACACTGTTTGCAAAATACAGCAAGGTGAGCCAGGAGAGAGAGAGAGCGGGGAAGAGACATTCAGGAGAGAGAGTGTGCGAGGAGAGACAGCCAGGAGAAAAAAACGAGGAATGACAGCCAGGAGGATGAGCAAGTAGAGACAGACAGGAGAGAGAGCAAGGAGAGACAGCCAGGAGAGAGAGCAAGGAGAGACAGACAGGAGAGAGAGCAAGGAGAGACAGACAGGAGAGAGAGCAAGGAGAGACAGACAGGAGAGAGAGCAAGGAGATACAGCTAGGAGAGAGAGCAAGTAGAGACAGACAGGAGAGAGAGCAAGGAGATACAGCCAGGAGAGAGAGCAAGGAGATACAGCCAGGGGAGAGAGGAGAGAAAGCCAGGAGAGAGAGCAAGGAGAGAGAGCAAGGAGAGACAGCCAGGGGAGAGAGGAGAGAAAGCCAGGAGAGAGAGCAAGGAGAGACAGCCGGGGGGAGAGAGCGAGAGACAGCCAGGAGAGAGAGCGAGGAGAGACAGCCAGGGGAGAGAGGAGAGAAAGCCAGGAGAGAGAGCAAGGAGAGACAGCCGGGGGGAGAGAGCGAGAGACAGCCAGGAGAGAGAGCGAGGAGACAGCGGGGAGAGAGAGGAGAGATAGCCAGGAGAGACAGCGGGGAGAGAGAGGAGAGAGAGCAAGGAGAGACAGTCAGGAGAGAGAGCAAGGAGAGACAGCCAGGAGAGAGAGAAAGGAAGATAGCCAGGAGAGAGAGACAGTCAGGAGAGAGAGCAAGGGGAGACAGCCAGGAGAGAGAGAAAGGAGAGATAGCCAGGAGAGAGAGACAGCCAGGAGAGAGAGCAAGGAGAGACAGCCAGGAGAGAAAGCAAGGAGAGACAGCCAGGGGAGAGAGAGCAAGGAGAGACAGCCAGGAGAGAGACAGCCGGGGAAGAGAGAGGAGAGATAGCGAGCAACACATCTGCCTGAAGCAGAACCCCTGTATGCTTCAAGACTTATCTGCACTCTGTGCTTCAGACACCTCCTTGCTCCGTGAGTTCCAGCATCCCTCCGTGTCCCGTGCCCGATACATGCACTCAAGTTGGAACATCTTCAAAAAGTACCAGCTTTCAAAAAATCAGCGAGACAAAAAACGCCCCGGTGTAAACGGGGCCTTATAACAAGATCCGGTGGCTGAGCTGAGAGAAACCGGAGCGAGTGTGTTAGTTGATTGATTGGTCCTGACTGGGCTGTGAGAGGGTCAGGCGACTGAGTGAGAAGGAGAAGGAGGGAGACAGAACACAAGCAGGTGGCTGGAGGGCAATGCGGCTGAATGAAAAAGCGGTGAGCTGCAATCATTGTTTGGTTGATTGATTTGCATTGAATTGATTTGAATAAAGTTGGAAGCCACAATGAAATAGGATAGGACTCTGTGTGAGCAGAAGGTAGAGCGGCATTGCAAGGGCAGGCTGGGCAGAGGCTGAGTTGGGGCTAAGTTGGACTTTGAGTTGAAAGGAGACCGGCTACCTTGGCTGAAAGACTTGAAGCTGTAAAATGAGTGAGCAAGGTGGTGTGTGAGAGGGGGATCTGTGAGCAAGCTATTGCAGGCGTGATTGGCTTACAGGGTATTGTGTAAACAAAAACAAACATTTTCGTGGTAATCCGAAGGGCATTATGGGAATATCTGTGCTAACCGTAGTAATTGTGAGTAACCAGCAATATCTTGGTAACTCTAATAAATTATTGCACTATGAAATCTGCAGCGTTTGTGGTAATTGTGGTAATTAGTACACAGGGTAGTCTGCATTGACTGTGGTAATTGGGGTAATTAGTATACTAACTGAGTTATCAGCATTGTCTGTGGTAATTGGGGTCATTTAGCATAACCGGTTATAGTTATCAGTGATTGGCCATTGTGTTTTGGAAAGATAATCTGTGAGATCAGCTGTGGAGGTGCAACAAACAAAAAGATAAAATTAAGAATAAATAAATAAATAAAAATAAAGAATAAATAAATACAAATATTGAAATCCCCATTAATCACTAACATGACCTCCATGGGTATGAACGCAACTCAGTGCACATCATGCTCAGTGTATGTGTTCCTTGAGCAAGTGTTCGAGGGTGAATACTGTTGTGCAAAAGTGTAAGCGAGTGGTTACTCTGGAAGCCCAGATTCTGGATCTAGAGAACTGACTGGCAACACTGAGGAACATTATTAACATGGAGAAGAGTTTGGACCTGACGGAACAGGTGCTGGCAGGGGCCAGCTTACCGGAGGGTGGTAATATGGAGGAGCAGGACCCAGAGGTAGGAAGCTGGGTAACAGTCAGAAGGTGGGGCAGAGGGAAGAGTGTTCCAGAGGCTAGCCCTGAATTGTTACATCCCGATAAATATGCCAGTTTGCATGATATTGGTGATAACAGCTTAGGGGGAGCACTGCTGGAGTAGAATAACTCCCCTAGCTGCCAGGGGAGTGGCTGCTCTGCTATAGAGGGTTGCAGGGGCTTAAGCAAAGACAGACAGATCCTGATGGTAGGGGATTCTATTATTAGGCGAACAGACAGGGTCATCTGTCACAAAGAACGTGATGGCTGAACAGTATGTTGTCTACCGGCCACTCGGGTTCGGCATATTTCAGATCGGATGGACGGATAATTGAGTGCGGCTGGGGAAGACCCGGCTATCATAGTACAAATTGGTACCAATGACAAAGTCAGAGGAAGATGGAGTGTCCTAAAGAAGGATTTCCAGGACTTAGGTGAGACACTTAAAGGAGAACTATGAGGCGAGTGCTTTTCACTCACCTCATAGTTCTAGCCGACCTGTGACAATGAGACTGTCACAGGTCGGCTCAGTAGATCGGGAAGTGAGCGAACACATACCGGCGTTCGCTTACCTCTCGATCCTGTCACGGCTCTCTGCCGTGACAGGGGAGGGGCTGGATTCCCCCCTCC